AATAAAGTCTAATGTTACAACTAATCGGGGATCCCTTTAAGAAAACACTACACACCATTCCCGGATGAATACAAAAACTAGAGTGAAATTAACAAACAGCTGCCAAAAAAAAAGTTCTAAAGACTTTTAAAAACGTCTGTAGAATTACTCATCAAGACTTTAAAATGTTACAAGAAAGTCTGGCAGGTGGACTGTAATGCTGATGAAACACTGGCTGTGTAAACCGTGCTGTGTAATCCTGACCTGTTGGCCCCAGGCAGATTTAAAGCCCTGGAACTTCTCCACGTTTCCAGCATTAAAGGCATAAAGTGTATCAATGAGCCACTGCTTGTCTGTGTTCCTCAGGGACTCCAGAACAGGATGCATTAGCTGCAGAGACACAGGTGTGTTTGTTACCACGGCCACTCTCAGGTGAGAACAGGACTGCAGAGTTGAACTTAAACCTYACCAGCTCTCCAAAGTTGTAGACTCCTTCTCCTAAGAGTCCGGCCAGGCCCAGTGTGAAGGCCCTCTCCTGCTTCTCTGTCTCTGTGGAGTAAAGAGCAAAGCTCAGATATTCTGACRGGAGGAATAAACTCGGTTTTATCACCGTGTCGTTGCTCACCTGGAAGGTCTTTGATGTCCACACAGCCCAGGTAGCGCAGGGCGTCCTTGTAGTAGGAGGCGTGGTTCCCGATGATGCGATAATATCTGCTAGAGAGGTCATAAAACCGACCGTGGACCGACGACACCCCTGGCAGGTTATTCAGCATCTCCTCCACCTCCTCGATGATTTTCTTCAGGTGAGAAACCAGAGTGACAATAAATGTAATGCTCACAGTAGGGTTCAAATCAAGTGGTTCCATCTTTAAAAATAAAATAAACAAACTTGTAATTTTTTAAGTGTTAACTTCATTGATCCAGTATGTTCAAACATAATGTTCTCTTATTGAATCAGAGTTAAGTGGCTTGAAGATAGAAAGAGAAACTTATTCTCCTCAAACTGATCAGGAAGTGGGATAAAATTCTGAGAAAAGCAGCAGAAGCCCAAAACAAAAAGTCCTGCAGAAAGTCTGAAAACTTATTGTTTCAAACCACTTTAAAGGTTCGAGAAGGTGCGGCTGCTTCAGGACATTCTGAAGACATTAGAACAGGACCACGACTTTTGCACAGGACTATAAAACTTTATAATTTGTTGCATCAGCAGCTTTATTTACAGACTTTGTTTAGATTTTTAACCTGTTTTCCTTATGAAGACTGAATGTATTGAATAAACTCTGTGTCTGCGCTGAGTGATGAATGTAACACAAAGGAAGGAAGTTGAAGAATCATGTAACGAGTTTTAACAATTACTGTGTTTTTGTCGCCTCTCCTCACCACACATCACCTGAAACACAGGTACACAGTGTGCTCTATACAGATGGACCAATCACCCTTCAAACCATCCGAATCTTGACGAGCCGTTCAACAGAGACGCTTTATTTGAACGAGTTACATCATCAAGTGTGACATATGATGATGTAATCACGTCACGTGGGGAGTACCATGTGTTTTATCAAGTACAACCCACTTCCCTCTGACTGTTCTCCATGAAAAAGCAGAGGAGTGATTGTGTCTGTGKTTCAGGAAGAAAATAAAACTGGGAACGTCTCTTTATTGATAAGTTCTTATCATTGTTTGTAAGGAGCTGTTTGAACAATTCAGATCTCTAGTGTTCTAACTGGACCAGGTGTGAGGATGACTCAGTCTGCTTCAACAAGTTTCACCTTTGTAGCAGGAAGATCGCTGATTTCCAGCTTCAGACTGCCGATAGATGTTTTGCAGAGAATGACGGCTTCCTCGCTGCTTTTTACCTGCATCACACAGGCGCACCATCATTGTGATCAAAAGGATAATTTATTACATTTAAACTGTAAAATCCTGGAAGGCTGAAGTTGATTGACCAACCTTTTCTTTGGTTTTCTCAAGAAAAGTGATGGCATCTTTTGGATCTAAAAATCAAAAAAGACAACGATTAAACACAAAACCCCAGAGAAAAGAAAAGATGTTGTGTTAGGTTTGTCCTCACCTGACATTTGTCTGACAACATACAGCATGATCTCAACCAGAGACAGAGGGTTGATTCTGTGTGAGGGTGACAACATTCGGTTAGAGCAGACAGACGTCACACACTCACACTGAATATTTTAGCCTCTTATCTCACCTGTGTTCAAAGTCGCAGATGAAGTTTTCATACAGCTGCCAGAAGAAAACAACAGTAAGCACAACATGACATTTCCTGCTGGACAGCTGACAATACATCCGTTTTYAAAAATAAGTTTGTTTATGTTAGCTACTTTCTGCCTGCTTGTTTGAATGGGAATTGTGCACCYCCATTCGAGATTGAGACGATGTAGCAGCTATCAGAGTTACTTATTTCTGATTTTCCCAGGCTCAGTTTTCTTTCTGTTCATTTTCAGACAGTTTCTGACTTATATGTGTAATTACTTTTAATTACTCAACACATTATACAGAAAATGTACATTTTCACAAAAATACTTCCAGAAATATTAGCCTGTTTTTGTGTCAAATTAATGATCTCAAACAAACAGCCGAAGCCTTTAAAAGAGCACAAATTATTTTGTGAAGCTGTTTTATAAAACTCAGAAAAATCTCAACATGCTTTAGGGTTAAAGTTTTTTTTGCACACACTGGCAGGAAGTGGTCCTTGAGTGACCTCGATGCCTCGACATCCTCATCCAAAAATAAAACAACAAGGAATAAACGAATGGCAAACAAGATTTAGTRCCTCCTGTGGAGTTTTATAAAAGGTCAGTACAAATGTAAATAAAATGATGTCACAAAAAGAGACTAATTATATTTTTCATTCAAGTATTAATGTCAACATTAGAGGTCACAGGAAAGCATGTTTAATATAAGAGTATATAGCCAACTCTACTAAAATTATACAAACCAAAAGGCCCTGAAATAGACTTTGTTTCAGAGTTAATACTCACATAAAAATTCWACAATTTAGAAAACTGTAACACATATTAGCTTTGTTAACATGCACAGTTTTAAACTTAGCTAGGCTCACAAAATGTTTCAGAGTGTTAATCAAAACTATGACTATACAGGTCTTATATTAATTAAAAACTCAATGTTTAAGAAATTTTATTTGAACAATTCTAAATGTTATATTTTAGAAAATAAAATACAAAACAAAGTATGAAAAAAAACATTTTCCATACTTATTCAGAGTGTTAATCAAAACTATGACTATACAGGTCTTATATTAATTAAAAACTCAATGTTTAAGAAATTTTATTTGAACAATTCTAAATCTTATATTTTAGAAAATAAAATACAAAACAAAGTATGAAAAAAAACATTTTCCATACTTATTAAGGGTTGAAAAATGCTGGCCACTGAGCATTTGAGTTAAGGAATAAGTTATTTATTATTCTTTATTTTTACATTCTTCACGTCTGAATGTTTGGACCAGTYTGATCAGAGTTTGAGTGGCCAACAAACAACAACAACAGAAATATTCTGCATGCAAACATACAAAGAACAAAACTGGTTAATATGTGAGCATAATTTTAAGGAAAGTCTATTTTCAGCATAAAGCTTCAGTTAAGGCATATACCACCAACCCTACTCTTTTCAGCAGATGTTGTCACTTTGTAAATTAGAAAACCTTTTTGTTCGTGGAAGAATCAGAAAATGCAGAAAGTGTTCTAAGATTTAGATATTTGGTAAATTTAGTCTTCAATTACACCAAAAAAACCAAAAACGTTCTTCCCCTGGACAACAATGCACATATTTTTCTGACGTTCATGATACAGTGTTTTACAGGTGTACAGGTGTTGTACAGGTGCAGTTACCTGGATGAGGCCATCTCCTGTTTTGAAACATGGATCTTTAACAAAGTCCGTCAAGTCCAGTGTCAACTGATGCCACAACCTGCCAACAGTGAAAACAGTGTCACAAAGAAGAGTTGTTGAGTTTTGAAATGGGACTCAAGTATAATCTAACAAAATAATAATAATAATAATAATAACAACAATAAAATAAACAAACAAAAAGCAAAAGGACACAATTTATATTTTGCCAGCAAGCAGTTGGTAAAGCACTCATTAGTCTTATTAGATTTTGTTTTGTATTCTTTTATGGTCATCAATTGGACTTTATTGCCCTGGAGATCCCACAGATATTTAACTAGATTAAAGATACAGAAAGTTTAGAGGGCATCACCTTTGACTCATTGGGCCTCATGCAAGAACATGTTCGTATTCTTATTCTAAATTTCTCTACTTTTGTTCGTACGAACATGCCACGTCAGATTCAACAAACTCTTCTATCTTCAGGAAAAGTGTGTAAATGAGCTGCGTAATTTACACCTGTTCGTATCCAGCTGCTCGTGCACGCGAGAGGAGATTAGCATAATTACCACCCCAAAAACACCATATAAGGCTATGTTTCCTGCCTCAGATACAAGGAAGTGTCCATTCATGAAAATGACAGTGAAAACTAAAAAGAAGAACTTTACGAGTTCAGAGATTGAAGTCCGTCTGTCAGAGATCCAGAAAAGAAAATCTGTCATTTTTAGCAGGTCAGCTGTGGAATAAAAAGAGCTGCTAAAAGCATAAACAACAGTGTTAAATCATTTTCTAAGCATTTTTAAATGATTTCAAAGTATGTCTGGCACTTTGGAGAAAACCCAGGAGTCGCTGGAGGGATTATGTACCCCCTCTGGCCTGGGAACGTCTCGGAGTCTTTCGGGACGAGCTGAAAAGCGTCGCTGGGGACAGGGAAGTCTGGGTCTCTCTGCTGCTGCCCCCCGTGACCCGACCCCGGATAAGCCGGCTGGACGGACAATTTATATTGTTAGTCTAAATTATTACATTTAAAATTATAACTCTAATTCAAGCAGAATAGCCTATTGTCAACATAATTATAGAGTGTAATTTATTTTCAACTCAAAATATCTTCAAACTAATGAAATATAAAGTTATTAGGGAGAAAAACCTGTCTGGATAACAGCAGACTGACTGCTGATAAAATATACGACAGGTCTGAACCACTCGTGAATTTTGTTCGTATCTGAAAAAAATCTTAGAATACGAAAACATTGGTGAATGCCACAAATTCTCCTAAATCACTCGTACGCACAACTTAAGAACAAATCTGTGCGTACGAATGGTTCTTGCATGAGGCCCATTGTTTTGCATTTCAAAACTGATCTTGGAGCATTTCTGCAGTGTGACAGGGAGCATCATCCTGCTAAAGATGCAACAGCCATCAGGGAACAATATTTTATGAAGATGGAACTGTTTAGGGTAGGTGCTGCTATGTGTCAAACTAACATCCACACAAAAATGGCATGACCATGGCACGAGTCCACGTCTTCATTCCATAAAGGCACTGTGGTGCCATGTCTTTCCCAGAATAAGAGACTATCATAGACCTAACTATCAGATAGTGGAGAAGAAACAAAATAACCAGCATGGACACCCTTGACCAGTCTGCAACTATGAGGCCCCAAAGAAAAAGTGTGAAACCTTGTTTGATTCATGGCAGCAGGTCCTTTAATGGATCAGACAGCACAGGTCAGGATTCCCTCAGTAATCACTGGCAGCCAGTGAGTCTGCCACTTTACTCAGTCCTGAATTAAGCAAACTGGGTAGACCCACACAAATGGCAGATTTGACCCAGCTGTCTAACCATCACCTTTACATCATCAGATGTCAATTATTAGATGTGTTCAAACACTAGTATGCTTCAAACACATCTATGTCAGTGACAGAAGAATAATCATTTCTACCAGCCTCAATAATATCTATCCCTTCAACTTTCAGTGGTCCTAACAACTAAACCAACTTCGTCAGTAGGTTATTTGATTCATTTATTGATTATTTACATTTTCTAAAGCGTCATTGCATTTTAAAAACAGGACAGATATTAAGTGGATGTCTATAAATGTTATAACAAAAACACAAATGTTTGATTTTCAGTCATTTCTGACAACAAACAAAACAAAGTCCGGTTTAATAAACACACTGTTCTAACGGAATAAACTAACTCACATCTCCATTTACTGAACTCAAACTTAAAGTAAGCATTGTTTTAATTAATGTGATAACCCTTTTTCTCAAACCGACTCATTAATTCAGCGCTCTGGTGAAGTTTTCTCGTTTAGCTCCGCCGTGACTCAGCGTGCTATAAAAATGAATGAGAAAGCCCACAKAAGCTAACGGCTAACACTTTAATTTTTTACCTTTTGTTGTATAAATCTTCCAGAGCGTGCCACTTAGCCGCACTCTCCGGCGTGGAGCGGCTGCTCTGCTGCTGTTTGAGGTACCCGCTAACATCTTTCATGGTAGCGACAAAAAGAAAAAACGATTTATAAACAGAAAACTGATGACTGGTCTTCAGCTAACGCTAAGTAGCCTGTGTGATGTGAGTCTGAACTGTGTCTGCGCATGCGCAGCTGTAAAGCGCAAAGGATGATGGGAAACGACCATGTGTAATAAATACCTTTATACATTTTATTATTTCTTTATTATCTTCAGTTGTAGGATAGCTACTATTTTACATCTGTTGTAATATAAAAAAAATCTAAATAATAATAACTAAGCTAAATTTACGACAACTTTCGGCCATAGACTTCGTGTCGAACAGTGTTATACAGTAACATATACAGAGCTTTATCATTAAACAAGTCCCTTATTTTGTAAACAATGCAATAGATTTAGCTATTTTTATTCTTAAATAATTTACATGAGGTTTCCATGTCAGTTTCTCATCAATAATAACCAAAAACTTTACCTCACTGACTACAAATCTCTACACCACCAGCCTTAAAAAGAATATTAACAGTTCTTTGTCTCTTTGTAAAGATCATATAATTAGTTTTATCCAAGTATAGTGATGATTTGTTGAGTTTAAACCAATTTTGTATTTTCATAAATTCTATTTGCATCATCTCTAACATCCTTTCTATGTTTTAACACAAAACAAAAAAAGGTGGCATCTGCAAATAGTATGCATTTAAAGAAAACCCTGACTGTGAAATCATTCACATTGTCCAAGTACAGAACCCTGAGGAACTCCACATGTAATTTTTACAGAGTTCAGATCTTATATCATGTGTACTGATAGAACTGATAGAACAAATATCAAATGATTTGTTATTTGTTCTATCAGTTCCATGAGAGCAAGACTTGGACCAACATTAATGCAATAATGATTAATTTCTTTATCTATTTCACTTTGATCATGAAGTTCTGTATTATCTTTTACAAAGTACTGTGAAATACCTGATCGTACCATACCGTAGCTTGAGGGTACACAGGGTTATTAACATGGAACACATTCCTTGTTAACAAACAATAAGCATTTACTCTGGACCAATATATATAT